CTAATCATATAACTAATCTGATCTAGAACCCTGTTTGCTTGACTCTTTTCCCTTATTGATTCAGTTTATTAATAGATATTAGATATGATTTTAGGCTCTACATCTAGAGCTACCTCAAAGGACTTGCAACGGTCTCCAGGAAGCACCTGCAGAAGGGGCAGACCTCCCAGTATGGTTTGGTATGCTCTGGTTACAGATGTGGAGCTGGTCGGTGGCTCTCTGGGTCACTGTGCAGGAGCAGAGCTCTGCAGCGTGGGACGTGGCATCAGCTCCTCCAGCTGTGGAGGTCACTGCAAAGGGCCACTCACGGCTCCGTGCAGGGTACACACAGTCCAGGATCTCCTGCGGGTGCTGTTTTGAGCTTACTGACACTGTGCTTCCTGTGCTGAGGTTCAGCTTCAGGCTGGGGTTCTGCTGCCCTAATTTTGGCACCTTGAGGAAGTTGGGGTAAGTCTGCCTGGGATTTCCCCATCCCTGCCTCCTGGAAAGAGCTTGCCCTGGAACCCAGGCCTGGGAAAGGGCCACTTGGAAAACTTTCCCTGAGCTATAGCTCATGCTGTGGGCTCTCTGGGCAGGGTTAGACCCCTGGGGCCATGTGGTGCCCATGCAGCCCCCAGGTTATTCCAGCCCATCGCAGCTCTGTACTCCTTGATGCAAGAGCTTCAGCTGTGAGTGTGCTGCTGATGGAAGCCACCATCACTGCATCCCACCCGGGTTACCCTGCCAGGGTATCCAGCCATCCGCACCTGACAACTTCTGCTTAGGACAGAGTGAGTTCCTCCAGGTCAAACTCATGCTAAGCAGTGGTTGTGGGTCAAGCCCTGCTTAGTCTGCTGCTACAGCCATGGAAGCAATCACTCTGCTGCCCTGAGCTACAGGACACCTTTGTGGGCACATCTTGCCCTGCATTTGGCTCTTATAATGGGGCTTTACACTGGAGGGGCCACCATGTTCTCCCCAGCTCCAGTCTCGCTGCTCCAGCTTGGGGCATCTCACCAGATCCCCACAGCTTTTGTTTTTGTTAACTTTTGGCATCAGCTCCAGCTTCCCCAGAGGGGCATAAAGGATCCAGTCCTAAGGAGCCTGTCCTTCACCAGGTCCTGCCACCTGACCCCTGTGAGATATGTGTACATTTTTGCGGCCAGCAAGTGATTTGTGAAAGAAACACAACAAGCATTAACTGCAGCCAAACCCTCTGTTCTCACCTCTCTCCTGCTCCCGTAATGTGCTGCACTGTCCAAATGCTCTCACTCAAACCAGACCCAGGTGGTATCTCACCTGTTCTTCCAAGAAAAAAAATCTTCAAAATCCTGGAGAAAGATGTTCCCAGAACTTATGGTTGGCTTTTAAACTCTCTGAGCCACTGGACACAAAAGCTGTGTGCAGGTATAAAAGGAGTTGCAGGCATGACTCTCTGAAATCAATGGATGTGGTGCTCTGTTCCCACCCAGCCTTCCCCAGCTTCTACGTTTTCCCAACACAGCTCTCAGATTCCCAGTAGCTCTTCCAAGGCTGAAGCCGACAAGGTGTGTACCCGTCAGCTGGCACAGCTTGGCATTACTATTGCATGCTGGTTCTGACATATCACAGCAAACCGCCCCGTTCTTCCTGAGATGACTTCATCCATCCCCCTCCGTGGGGTCAAGGTTCCTGAGTCACAGGCTTGCTTTGCCTTTGGTGAGGTCCTGCCACCTCTCTGGGTGCTGTGGGGGCCTTGGAAAGTCAGTTGGGGGCTTTTGCTTTGAGCACGAGCTGGGCCTTGGCTTCAAGGTTGTTGCTTGTCTCTCCAAGGTGGAAAGGGGCTGTGTGCCTTGGGTTTGCTCCAGCTATTCCAGATGATGTAATGAGCGTTCCTGCCCCTCCCTGCAGACTTCTTTAGCATGAGCTGCACTGCGGTTCTTGGATGGCTTGAGGTCAGAACACGGTACTGAATGTTGCAGAGTACCTTGGCCTGACACGACCCAGCGTCCTCAGCTGTCATTTTCAGCTGTAAAAGCCACTCCATGCTCCTTTTACTCTCATGACCCATGCCAAGGCCTTTCAGGTTGCACCCTTATGCCAAAGATCCAGCACCTCCACCTCTGCATGCTGCTTCTGATGCATCCAAGGCTCAGTTTTCGGCTTTGGTGATCCAGAAACTTCAGTGCGTTTCACCAGCAGGTTAGAGAGGGTTGATGGAATTTGATTCTTTGGATCCAGCTCAACAGAAATTGTTTTTCCTCTCCTCGCACCTGGTGTGCAGAAGATCTGCTTCTCGCAGTGCTGATTCATCTTAGTTGTTCTCACTTGAGGAGGATCCAGTGACCTGCTTGGACAAGCTCACCTGGGAGTTATAAATACATCCCTGTGTAATACTCACATGACAATCAGCTAATGGATAATGATCATTGCCAATGAGAACAGGATTTGTCCCTACAGGTAGAGCCCCCTTTCCTGGGGCTCATTTTGAGGTTGAGTCATTACTCACCTCTCTACAGCTGTGCATTGGGCAATGCTGGTGAGATGGATTAGGTGCATGGGAGGTGCAAGATGTGGGACTTCACTGAGAAACCTCTATGTGATTAACATGCGTGATGCCATCATTGCTAGAGCTGGAGTTAACTTCTGGAGAGGCTGTGTTCCTGTCCATTGGGAGCTACCCCATACCTGCACCGAGCTAAACACAGCTCGTATGATGGGACAGCTGGAAGAAGCTAAACTGATGTATCTCTCTCCTTGGATATGATCCTGGTTGAAATAAAGAGCATAGTTGAGTGTAATACTGAATGTTTGTTTTTTTTTTTTTTTTAACATCTATCGTTCACTCAGCATCCAGGTGTATTTGGTGTCCGGTTCAGGCAGCTAGCTGCCCGTGGGACTTTGTCCTCTGAGCTGAGCCAAGCTGGCCTGAAACCCATGGCCTGGGAGCAGGAGGATCCATTCCTAATCCTCAGCCTGACTCATTCGTGTGTTGGGACCAAGGTGGGTCCAAGGGCTCAGACACTACAGGGCAAAGCAGGAACAATCCACATGAATTATTCTCTTACCGTGTGCTTCTTTTAAACCGCTTCTGTGATTTAGGGGCTGCCTGGCAATATTGTGTGAGTCGAGGGTGGTGGATGCCTGGCAGGGAGTGCAGCTACTGCCACTGGGCACAGCTTTAGCCATGGGAGTTAAGGGACAAGCCGTTTCACCCCTCTCTTCCATGAGAGGTGATGACTAAAGAGGCTGCTTGAGCCAAGTCCTTACGTTTCAGGACTGGCTGTTGTGACAACGTTGCTGTGAGTTGCCCGTGAATAGGTGATTTTGGAAGCAGCAATTTGTCTCCCAGCGCTCTGGACTTTGCCTTGTACAAGGGGGAAGAAGATGTCTGAAGACCACTGAAGTTCTGTCTTTAAGTCCTGGCTGTGTCTCAGGTTTAAGCGCTGATCTGAGCAGCACAAAAGACTGCCCCAAGGAAGGTGTTTTTCAGCAGCAAGTCCCTTGAGGTGAGCCGCTGGCTCCAGCACTTGGTTTAAATGGGGATTAGGGATAATTTCAAAAGCCACAATCAGTGTTGCCACATGAAATTATTGACCCAGGTGCTGGGTGGTACATACCTAGAAATAGACTCCATGTATTGTAGTCACTGTGTTAGTAGCGACGTTTTGGTTTTGCCCAAGACTTGGCTTCCAGGGGAATAAACCTGATGACTGAGTTTTCACATCATGACAGCAGGTGACATGATGGTGATTTACAATGCTGAAAGCACAGAAGTTTGATGCCTTGAGACTTAAAGGCAACATCATTTTGTTGTTCTTCCAAGAAGCAGAAAGCAAGCAATGCTAGGGGGGCCCAAAGGGCAAGAGGAGATGTCAAAGAACAGTTTTAAAATGTGAGGTTTTGCCCTTTGCTACTTTGCGGGAGCTAAAGGCTGCCTGAGAAGACTTAGGAGAGATCAAGTTATATTTGATTTTACACCAGCCATTCAGAGCTGCTTGCTGAAGGCACTTTCAAAGAAGTCCATCTTTCATTCCCACCTGGTCGGTGCAGGTGTGATGTGCCCCACACTGACAAAGATACACGAAGCTTGCAGCTAAATCTTCAAAGATGATGACAAAGCTCCCAGGGAGCTGGAGACCTCTGCAGCAGGTTTGTGGGCACTCAGCCCTTTCAGGTTCTGTGTAGTCATCATAAGGCACAAAGAATTTGAATTGTGAGTGTTGTTTTTTCCTTTTCTGGGCATATCTGAGATTAAGCTTGCCAGAGCAAGTGCTGAGGTTGCTCATTTTCTGGGGCATAGTGCTGAGATTACATGATGTCGTAACAGAAAGTGGGGTCTCCCACCTCCATCCCTCCAGCTCAAGGCCAGAGCTACTGGCAGATGGGACAGGAGGGCAGGGGTGGAAGGTGAGCACACGCCTGTCCTCAGACTCCATTTCTGTTCTTTATAGCAGATGATAGGTGAATTTTAATGAAGGATATGCTCTAAAAAGCATTGAAATGTCTTGAGGCAAAGTCTTGTGATAGACAGCTGTAATAAAGGGGACTAGAACCAAGGAGGAGAAAATTTGGAGCACGCTCTTACAATTTTGTTAGCAGCAAGTGCCCGTGGGCAGATCCGTCGTGATGGGGGTAGAGACATTCCAGAGTGGTTTGTGAGTCAGTCGAGCTCCTCCCATCACAACTTCACTCATCAAAGCAAGTATTTATAGCACAGGTAGGAGTAGGGAGAGAAATCAAAGAAGAGCTTCCCAGAAAGATGCATAAATCACTCTGAGAGTTCAGCTCTGGGGTTCTGCATTTTTTGCTTTAATGAGAATGAGTAAAAACGCTGTTGTGATTCCTGATATTTCTTAATATTATTTCCTCAGTCTGCTTTTTGAATTCAAACCATCTTTGAGCAAAGAGATATTTCCATAGAGTTCTCCCAGCTTTCAGAGCTACTCCGGCAGGCTGCTGACATGCCGTCCTACACCAGAGAAAATATTTTCTCCAGCACAGATCTGCTGAAAAACAATTCAGAAAGTCTGGCCAGGCCGATGTTTGCTGTCCCAACTGTCGGGAGACCTCCAGGCTTTCCACTCAAGCGAAGGAGGAAAGCCAGGAAGGTGCTGTACCCAGCCCAGGTGAGAAAATATTTGCCACGTCAGGAGAAAGACCTAGTCAAGCGGTGGCTGCTCTTCTTTGCCGGCATCATCCTCATGCAAGTCTTAACTGAGGATCCTGAGCAAGAGAGACCAGCTGGGGGAAAAAGCCCTCGAGAGCAGCCGCTCTGTGCACCAGCAGCACCGACGGCTGCACAGCTCCGGGCTGCAGGGAACAGCTCTGGAGAAGACAGAGCTACTTCAGAGGCCCCAGCAATCATTTTCTCATCAGCTTATGGGCACGAACCTCTCAGGCAAACCACAGCAGATGTGCCACGACAAGCAAGGAGACAACCGCGCGCCTTCTGCAGGCAATGCTTGACCGGTTTCTCCCGTGCAGAGCACTGAACGGCGTGTGAGAAGTTGTCCTCCTACTCCTGCTCTTGGACATCAGCTGCTGGAGCAGCAGCAGAGGTGGCCTGTGAACTCCTGCACTGCTTCGAGGGTTCACAAGGACTCTGGACGGTGACATGGGGCCAGCGGTGGCCAGAAGAAGCGTTGCAGAAAGCCCAGGGCTGCAGCAAGAGCTGTGCTGATTCGTTTGTGACTGTGATTAGAGATTGGGTTTCCCAGAGTTGTAACAAAAGGCTGCAGGAATTAGATTTATCCGCCTGGTTGGGGTTTGTGCTGTGCCGTTTGTCGCTGTCGCGTAACTTGTTTTCAGTGCCGCTGTTCTTGCGTCGTAATTTACTGTCCGTTCTCACAAATGAGAAGAAAGCAGCTCAGCTTTCGAGCGGAAGGTCGGAAGATCCTGTGCGCTTTTCTCCCTCTGTAACACTGTAAGAATAAAACTGCCAAGGTCAGACTTTCACAACGCGTTTCATCCGAGATTTTAAAATGCAGGTTTGCTGCTCTGCCGCCTGCTGAAAAGTGCTGACCGTCCTGGGGAAATAAAACTGCCCAAGCAGCAAGAATGGTGGGGTCAGGGCCACGGCAGGACCCGGCCACCGACACGCTGGTGCCCAGACATGGGTTCACAGACCTGGGTCAGGCATGGGATGGGACACAACATGAGCCACAGCAGCGGGATAAGGTATCTTCCTGGGAAAAAGCCAGGAGGCCCCTAAAGGAAATGTTGGGACATGCTGGGAAAGGGGGTTGGTTGAGGGGGAGGCTGAGCTAGAGACCACCGGTGGTCCCTTCTAACCAGCACCTCTGCCCTTTCTATGTTTATCAGGGCGTTACGGGGAGTTTAGCAGCACTTTGTGGTTCTTAGCATGAAATACGGGATTAGCCCCGATCCAAGGCAGGGGTTTGTAGTTTTTTTTGAACAGAGTAAATGTGATGGTGTCTGGGGGGCTATGTAGCAAGGTACAGCTCGGAGCGGGGCTGCTGCCTCCCAGACACGAGAAGGCTGCCTATTTAGGAATAAAGAAGTCTGGTTCAGGACCTGCTTCTGCTCCTTGTCCGGCCATGGGGCCTATTGCAAAGAGCCACTCATGGCTCCATGCCGGAAATGCAGAGTCCAGGATTTTCAGTGGGTGATGTTTTGAGCTTATCGAATTTCCTGGGCTGTTTTATCACCCAGACCCTGCGGCTGGGATTCAGCTGCCCTAATTTAGGCATCCTGAGGAAAGTGTGAGTAAGTCTGCCTGGGATTTCCCCAGCCCAACGCTCTGTGAAGAGCGTGCCTGGGAGCCCAGGCCTGGGGAAAGGCCACCTGAAAAACCTTCTCCAAGCCATGGCCCATGCTCCAGCCTCATGTAGCTTACGTATCAGGGCTCCCTCACATGAGGGTCAGTCCCAAAAGGCCACGCTATGCCTTTGCAGCCCCCCAGCTTTGCTCTTCAGGTCTCCAATCCAACCTTCCACTCTGCAGAACATCTTCAAACTTTTGCAGGGGTTGCTTAGGGCTGTGTCCAGCCCAACTTTTAAAATCTCTGTGCATGGAGATTTCATCCCGCTTCTTGGCCAGCCTCTTGCACATGTCTGGGACTTAATTCACATCTTTTCAATGCCACATCATGACACATAGCTGTTCGCTGAGCATTGTTCTCAGAAAGCAGGACTTTTCATGGCAACAGCAATTAGTTCCTCAGGCCCTGGTAAAAGCAGAACTCAAATGTTTCATAGTGACCTAGAGCAGCCGCACATGACCCAGGGATGGAGGGAAGCTGCATTGCACATGCAGTGATTGCAGAAGAGGTGTGGAAAAGCCAAGTGCAGCACTGCAGGCCAGAACAGAGAAGAGCAGGGAACTGCAGCCCACGGCAATTACAGAGACCTGCTTATCTCGGAAAAAACAAAACAAAACAAAAAAACAAACAACAAAAAAAGAAAAGCTGAATCACTAACAGGATTTAGCTGCTTAATTTATTCTGGAAAAAGATGAGTAATCTGTCTGTGTGCAGCCAGGGAACTGTCTGGAGTAAGGAGCAGCTGAGATATGATTTCTGGGAGGGCTGGTCCAGGATAAGCCCTTCCGAGAGGCTCCACATCCCTTGTGTGGGCAGGGGAAGACGCTCAATCACAAGGAATAACTGAACGTGGAGTTTTGTAAAATTCTGGAATTGTAAAGATCGTTGACAATAAAAAGATCTTTCAACAATAGCGGTGGTGGAGGTGGAATCTTTCAGAGCTGATTGTAAAATTGGTGATGAAGGACTTTGGTGGACCAAAGCATATCCCAAAGGCATCAGGAGAGGGCAGCAGAGACAGGAGCTGAGCAGGACCCAGGAGGCAGTGGCTGCATTGTCTGACACCCAAATGTGAAACTGCAATGGCACGTATATAAGAAATTGCTGAAGATGCTGCCAGTGCCTTGCAGAGGGGTGATGTGGTGGGAAAACAGAGTCCATAACCCAGAAAAATGTATACAGAGATGCCTTCAATATAAAAAACCCATCACCAAGTCTTCCAGGTGAGAAGTTCCATTGTCGCATACGGTGCAGGACAGCGAGCGGAGGTATACGGTAATGCAGATGTAACAGAGGCCACCATCAACCAACATCCAAGCCAGACATTGACAGCTAAACCAGTGCAACCACTGAAAATTAACTTCAGGCCTGGAGGCTTGAATGAACTAAATACGAAAAGGACCGTTCCAATCAGTCTGTTGCACGAAGTCTAGCGATTCACGTCGCGGTCAGCCCCTACTCCTACCTGTTCTGTTCCTGTTTGCTGCAACACGAGCTTTTGGTGGGATGTAACAAGAACAGGACCAGCCAGGCGGAGGGCAGGAGCGAAGGCCGTTGCTGGAGTGCACATCCCTGCTCCACGGCATGGTGGACCAATGCAGCAGACCCTCACCCAGCCCTCTTGTATCCACTCCCGGGCCTGTGCATCACCAGGGCACTTTAGAGGTACGTGCACCAGCTCCAGCTGAGCTCACAGGGGATGAGGCAGCCAGGCAGGACAGCTTGGGGAGCCCTGTGGTGCCCCGGAGGGATAATATACGTGTGCTATGCCACAGTCAGCAGAGCAGCGTATCCAGACAGGCTCTGTAGCTGGGACATGTCAGGACCCAGCCCTGCACTTGCATTTCCAATCCTGCCCAGGGCTTGTGGCTCCCGCCAGAGGGAGCCCCTCGCACCCCAGAGACCTCTGCTCCTGCCTGCAGTGCCTGGGACAAAGCGGGTGTCTCACTCCTTCCTCTCCCGGAGCTCCCAGTTCCCTGCTCTGCCCACTCCAGAGCCTTCCAGATCCACGCTACAGCACCAGCCCCTTCTTTCCTCATACCACCCCTCCCTCCAACCTCTTTCCTTATCCAAGTCTCCTCGGGCTGTCTCAGCCCACCCTTCCTGCTACCCCAGAGTCCCCCAGCCCTGCTGCTGGGCACAGCGTCCTTTGCTCCAGGACACATCCCTGCTGGTAGCAGCTCTTGGCAAATAGCATCCAGATGTGTATGGGGAGCAGCTCCTGGGACATTTCCACCACGTTCCCTGCCTGGGAACGGTCCCTGGGGAGCGTGACGGATGCACTACCCCGAACCCAGGCCAGGGTCTGTTCTGGCAGTTTGTCGTGACACACAATCATGTTCTTGTGCCCAGTAGTGTCCCCAGGAGCTTCTCAATTTAGTCCTGTAGATGTGTCCTACGAGATCGGGCGCACTGTCAGACGCACCACTCCAGAGATGCTCCTAAACGGGAACCTCTTGCCATATTTCCCTGATCCTACAGCGTGAACACCCTTTTGACCCCCCATCTGCAATGCTCATCCAGAGCAGACACGGAGCTGCTCGGTACTTTTTCCGAGGCAACTGTAAGAAGACCGTTCGTAACCTTGCTAGCAGAGATCTGCCCTCTTGCGCTGTAGCAGCAAGCTCTGCCGCAGCTTTCCAACTCTCCACCAAAACATAAGAGCTGCGACACAAGGGGCACGGATTCTGCTCCCTGCGGAGGTGTGCCATGGGAATTGTAAACACAGCTGCTTGCATTAGGCGCGTTATTCACCCTCCGGCTCACTGGAAGTTGGATGGATGGTGTCTCAGGAGCGTAATGGAGAGAATATTAAAATGGTTCTTTGTTGCGCTGCCTCACCTAGGTGTTACGTGCCGCGCTACTCCATTGCACAACTGGGTGTGTGAAAAGGGGAGCCTGAAAAGACTACTGTAGGTAAGACAGGCAAAAGAAGACAGAAGTCAGAGGAAATGATAAGAAATCGATAAATCAATGAGCGACCTAGTGAAGATGTACAGGGTCCGGACCTCTCCTTGCCTCACAGCATTAGGGAGCCACCCAAAGCCATGACATTGAAAACTGGTTTGTGTTCACGCGCACGTCAAAAAATGAGTGAAAATTCTTTATGGCAGACAGAAAGTTTAATTATAAAGACCATGGGATTACTTTCCTCAGCTTGTTCGTGGTCACGTATCTGGACAGCCCCAGGGAAGGGCCCATCTTCATTGACATCATCGTAAAAAGTAGCTGAGACGATGTCAAGTTCGTTAAAAAGAGGGACGTGCGGGAGAGCCCGTTGTAACTGAGCTTGTGTGTGTCCTGAGGCCACCACCAGCACCCGCTGGCCAGTGGGCCAACAACGCCGAGTGCCATCGTGGCCACACGGCATAGGCAGCGGCTCTGGGGTGGTGCTGGGGGTGGCGGGAGGCACCCGCTGGCAC